AAAGATGGAAGGATACTGAGGGAAGATATTTCTCAGCACACAGCTGACTTCCTGTCCTGTAAATCTATCACATCTGTGTGGGGCCCCTAAGGGTCCCGTAGCGTGCGGTATGGTGGGGGGCCCATCTCCTGTACATTGTAGGACTATTGTGGCTTTCATGTCCATTGTCAGCAGATCAGGCAGAACGCGTTGCAGGTGCAGACCAGGACTTCCTCAGATGTGTGCGCGGCGGGGTGGGGGGGCCCCCCTGTGATCTGTGTCCCCCCTTTATCCCCTCTATTATTTATACTCTATGCTTTGTACTTCATGTGCTGTCCTGACTTGTTCAGTCTCACTTCAGTCGCTGCGCTCCGTTCTTCTATCTCCTGGAGTCTTTTGTTTTGCTCCACCAATGAAAACTGAGCAGGAAATCCGGCTGTTTACTTTGTGACATTCCGAGGATACAGAAGGATAGAGGAGGAGGAGAGTGGCGTGCACAAGGCTCCGATGGAAGCTCTGACAGCTGTCATACGACACAAAGCTTCCAATACTCACTGACAGGTTGTGTCCCCTTAGAGAGTCTCCCCCTCACTTCCTGTCCTGGAGATAACACAGGAAGTGAGTGGAATACCCTCTACAAAGTGAGGGAAAGTCACCAGAATTGCCCAAGTTACATAGTTACATAGTATTTGAGGTTGAATAAAGACATATGTCCATCAAGTCCAACCTATTAGGTGAACTCTGTGTTGCCTGATGAAGGAAGCGGTTCTGAAACGTTGCTACACTCGCTGATGTCACTCTACACATGGAACAAAAGAACTTTGGAGTGCTGGTGACTTCCTGTTTTGGAGCGCTGGTGACTTCCTGTTTTGGAGTGCTGGTGACTTCCTGTTTTGGAGTGGTGGTGACTTCCTGTTATATCACATCCCTGTAAATGATCCCCCCTCAGACATCTGATTGGCTGCCGGCATCCACATCACCTGACAAGTGTATTCCGATAGGTCACATGACGTCTCCGCCTAGTAGAACTGCTGCGGGTCGGCAGTTGATCATGGAGGCGGCCTCTGCATTGCGTGTGCTGTGGGGTGTATTGTATGACGTATGACCATCTCACGGAACTCCTTCTCCCCCTCCAGACGTGACATCCAATGACATCGAGAGAGGCAGAGAGCCACAGCGGGATCCTCAGGGGCTGGAACGGGGGTCTCCCCTCCCCCACCATGGAGGAAGACTTCTACCCCTTCCTGCTGGAGAGGAGGCCGTCCTACCTGGGCGAGGAGGAGGCGGAGCAGCAGGAGGAGGACCTGAGCCTGGCACTGGAGAGGAAGGGCAAGGATCTGCTGCTGGCCGCCGAGCTGGGGAAAGCGCTGCTGGAGAGGAACGATTATCTGGAGAGGGGAAGAGAAGCGCTGGAGGAGGAGCTCCGAGAGACCCGTGAGGTGAGAGGATCTACCCACCTGATTACAAGGAGGGGAGGAGCTAGCAGGGACTTCCAGAGTATCTCCTTCAGGTAACCAATCACAAGCCCCCCCATACATATATCTTCACATCCCCCACCAGTGATCATTTACACGAAGTGGAACCTGGTGGGCGGAGTTAGTCCCAGATAACCAATCACAAGCCCCCAATACATACACTAAGAGGAACCTGGTGGGTGGAGTCAGTCCCAGATAACCAATCACAAGCCCCCAATACATACACTAAGAGGAACCTGGTGGGTGGAGTCAGTCCCAGATAACCAATCACAAGCCCCCAATACATACACTAAGAGGAACCTGGTGGGTGGAGTCAGTCCAGATCTATGGCTGTCTCTCTGTACCGGGATCTGTAACGGCAGCCGGCAGGAGAAGTCAGATCTCCTCCAAGGAGACATCTAAAGAAGGGGATGATGCGCTCTGGCCTTCAGGGATTGGCCGAGCCTGGTTCTGGGGGGAGGGTGGTCCCGTGTCTCCGGCACAGTATAGGTATATGGTGATGGTTCATGCCAGGCCCCGGTCAGGGTGGTCCCGTGTCTCCGGCACAGTATAGATATGTGGTGATGGTTCATGCCGGGTCCCGGTCAGGGTGGTCCCGTGTCTCCGGCACAGTATAGGTATATGGTGATGGTTCATGCCGGGCCCCGGTCAGGGTGGTCACGTGTCTCCGGCACAGTATAGGTATATGGTGATGGTTCATGCCAGGTCCCGGTCAGGGTGGTCCCGTGTCTCCGGCACAGTATAGGTATATGGTGATGGTTCATGCCAGGCCCCGGTCAGGGTGGTCCCGTGTCTCCGGCACAGTATAGATATGTGGTGATGGTTCATGCCGGGCCCCGGTCAGGGTGGTCCCGTGTCTCCGGCACAGTATAGGTATATGGTGATGGTTCATGCCGGGCCCCGGTCAGGGTGGTCACGTGTCTCCGGCACAGTATAGGTATATGGTGATGGTTCATGCCAGGTCCCGGTCAGGGTGGTCCCGTGTCTCCGGCACAGTATAGGTATATGGTGATGGTTCATGCCAGGTCCCGGTCAGGGTGGTCCCGTGTCTCAGGCACAGTATCGGTATATGGTGATGGTTCATGCCAGGCCCCGGTCAGGGTGGTCCCGTGTCTCAGGCACAGTATCGGTATATGGTGATGGTTCATGCCAGGCCCCGGTCAGGGTGGTCCCGTGTCTCCGGCACAGTATCGGTATATGGTGATGGTTCATGCCAGGCCCCGGTCAGGGTGGTCCCGCGCCTCCGGTATATCGGTTATGTCTCTGGTCTTGCAGCGGTTGGAGCAGGAGAAACATGCGCTGCGGCTGAAGATGGAGGTGCGGGAGAGCGAGTGGAAGGCGCAGATCGCGGATCTGGAGGGCGACTTGTCGGAGGCGCGGCTGCAGGTCAGACAACTCATGTCGGAGCACCGAGAGTGCGGCCGGGAAAACGCCACCGCCGTGCACGAGATGTCCGAACAGAACCAACGGCTCCTGGAGCAACTAGCGCAGGTGAGAGGAGGATTGTCTGGTCTGTTACATGGGAAGGTGGAGTGCCGCACATGGGGGATGGACATGGGCACTCGCGCTGCCCACTAAGGCCGTCCGCACAGAGAGGACACAGACGTGTTTCAGGAAGGCT